GATAGATAGATAGATAGATAGATAGATAGATAGATAGATAGATAGATAGATAGATAGATAGATAGATAGATAGATAGATAGATAGATAGATAGATGTTGTTGATGATGTTATAAATAGGTTAAACTAACTGCGTTATATTTTAAATAAAGAAAGATGGTTGCACAGTATTCAAAATGTTCAAAAAAAGGTTTATAAAAGATGTGATTAGCCTTAGCTGGGGGTTTAAACTCGTCATATCCAGTATTATCAAAACTTTTCGTTTCTTTTCTTTAAACATTCCGTTTTATTTGGTTTAAATGGGGGCCTAACTCTCACTAGCACCGCGCCTGTGATTTCAGAGGAGCCTTGAGAATCAGCAGCCCATAATTCATTTAGTGCAAACAGTACAATGCGTTAAGTGCCGTCGCTTTGTCCTCTGTGAGAAGTTGAAACGGGGCAGGGTAAAAAGAGACCCAGCAGGCTGTGCTTTTAAAAGACCGGAGGAGACTATAAAACTGGTTTCATACCCGCTGCTGTAAAGGATCGGCACGATATGAGCGCAGACAGACGGAGGTAGGCAGAGCACACTCAGGGAAGGGAGGACAGCACGCATTTCACACTCAGAGCATTCATGGTTCATTTTTATAAAGTCGGATCTCTGTCACAGACAAGCGTGGGTTTATGGGCTAGTTCACACTCAGCTCCATTACACATACATCGGGGGTTTTTTTGTGTGTGTTTTCTACTTTAGTGAAAAGGATGAGCGTCTTCTCCAGTAGACCCGGCGCAGTTTGACACGTTTCCCGAGCTTGTTTTCCAAGCGGGGCCCCATTAAAACAGTTCTGCTCTTACTTTTGATGCCACGGAAATGGGATCGCACCAACGAGAGAGCGTGTCCGCGTTTTGCAGGAAAAGTTTGCTTTGGACAGTGCTGATACTCTGGCTGAGCACGCTGGTTAACGGGACCTGGAAGACGGGACTTTACAAAACCTATTCAGTCGGGACGCAGCTGAACAGAGACCAGACAGCAGCCACCCACAGCTCAGTCTACCAGAAAAGGTGAGGAAAGTACGCACAGCTGTCATATTGCACACAGAATACTTATATTAAGTTTTGTTTTCTATCTTGCTGCCACTGCTTCCCTCCACGGATGTACTCCCATCTCCATCCATCTACCGGGCGCTATTGTCTTCCTGACAGTTGGTTTCCCTTTTCCTGTGCTGGCAGGCAGCATGTTTTTACTCTGCTGAGTCCCATCCACACTCTTGTCCCAGCTCACACACCTCTGCTGCCCCTGTGGCGTGTTATATGCTCTCTATCCATACAGCGCCTTTAGCCTCACACACATAGCCCGCTCTTTTCAGCATCCCAAGGGTGAAGATTTCAAAAAAAGAGTGTTAAACCCTAAGTTTAAGGAGTGATTGATTATTTGTATCTCTATAATAAAGCGTGAAAACGTTTATCTTAAAGGATCACTGAATGAAAAGGGGGATAATAAGGCTTCAGAAAATGATGGATCATTCTGTGTAAGGGCAATCGAGTTGACAAGGGTGTTGAAAGAGAGTCACCAGACTAAACACGAAGGCAGGAGGGCTAACCGGCTCTGCTTTCCTCCTGGACAGAGCCAAGTTTAGTTGGAGACTAGCCACTGATTAATGATGAGAGGACGTTTCCCCATCTTGCAAATATTTATGCTGTCAGCTTGTGTGTGTGGGCTGAACGTGGCTGGAGGCTGAAATCCCTTCTCTCTGATGAGGTCTTCTGGGTGTGTTCAGGTGGTTTTCAGCGCCCCTTCGGTCACTCCACTGCCTCACTTCTCTGCTCAGCTCCCCCTGCCACTCAGAGCCAGAGGTTTGTGGACATGTTTGCTAAACACAAGCAGCTGGGACTCCAGCGCAATCTGAGCTTGTTTTGGGGGGGAAAAAGCAGAGGGGGATGAGTTTACAGTCAGTTTGCTGCTGTTAGTGTAAGTGGCCGTGCAGGAAAGGCAGGACTGAAAGAGGGAAAGCTGCTGTTGGTGTGAGTCAACCATGTTCAGAGGTCACCGGGTTTGCGGTGACATGAGAGGAGCTGAAAGTCTCAGTCCACCTGCTGGCTGGCTGGCCTGATCGGTGAAAGCAGCAGTTTATTGGGTGTCAACAAACAGTAACAGCGGCGGAGTGATTTCAGAGATCAACCTCGGCGATGAAAGCAACCTGTCATTAGGGTTCAGGTGCTTAAAAGGAAACGCATATGACTGTTAGTGCACTGGGAAAGGGAAACCTTCACTAATACCAGCACTGTCTTCACACAGTGATTAGCACAATCAAAGGGGATTAACATCTTGTGGGTATTTTCTTTGCTGGTGCAGTCACTCTGTGAAAGAGCTGATAAAGCATTCCTTCACCATCTCTCTTAATGACTGCATAGCTCAGTAAACTGTGGGGTCACTGAGGGAGATGCTTCTTTAGTCCCTGTCTCGCCCAGTTCTTTATCCTCCCTCGGAGGACTTGTCATGGTCTGACAGGCAGTCTGAGCCCCGTGGCAGTCCTCATTCCTCGTCCATCTTGACCATATCCATGTTCACTTTAAGCATGGGAATGAAGACAACTGAGATTCCAGGAAGCTGCACGGCTTCAAGCAGAATGGCTGTGAAACTTCAAATGATGTATATGCACAGGGAACCATTATTTGGATGGATGTCAAGAGGCAGTCACCAATTGTTCAGCTCCAATAATATCCACTGGCCGTTGATTACATTACTCAATTGAATTTGTTGCCTTTTTCTGTATTACATCAATGTCTTATCTTCTGTTTTTGGACGTGTCACTGGACAAAATATGAGATTCTTAAGACAGGATCTTGAACTCTTTTCTTCACGATTTACAGATTTTCATGTGTAATATCAGTCTTAAAACAAAGAATTAATTGTGGCAGCTCATCCTCCACAATGAGAAAAAAAATTGTTGGATTCCTGCTTATCAGATTGCATATTTGCTCATTTCTGTGGTTGTAGTCTGAGTTGCTTCAGTTTTTGGACAAAACAAGACATTGATGTCATAACTTTTAGCCGATTCTGTTTCCCGATGTCTTAGAGATTTGATACTTAGTATGAGCCTAATACCAGACTCCATATTGCATCCTGTGCACTGCAGGTGAGCAGTCCATAAAGTCAGCATCTCATTCACGGTCAGTGGAGCAGCTCAGCTCGACATGATGGTCCATTCACGCTGAGCAGTCAGGATTCGTGGCGCTGTAGGTGTGATATGAGTGAATCCTTCATTTGAGTGGAATTCCTCTTTCGCTTCCAGGTTCAAACACTTGAAGATGCCACAGACTGAAAACTCACAGGTGTCTGCACCTGAAAGCTCAAAGGAGACAAAGATAGATGAGAGTTTTCCTTGTTTATTCCATGCTGCTGTAAGGAGTCACTTAGCCCTGACCTTTAAGGCCTCGCTTCGGTGCTTTGATGCTCGTCACTGTCCGCTGCGCATGGAAAGCCCACGGCAGCTTTGAACCTGCAATATAATACCCCAGCAGCCGTAATGCTCTGAATTAATGTATAACAATTGTTCAAATACAAACTTAATACAACCTGTTTCTTTTGTTTGTCATTGAACCTGCAGGCCATGACTCTAGAGCTGCAAAGTTTTTTTTAATTTCACCTCGACTTGTTCTTGCTGTTTTCCTCTTTGTCGTTGGTTGTGGTGCCATATTTATCTTATGTCTCCTCTCAATCCCACGGGAGCCACACTGCTTCATAATTGCCATCTCTGTCCCCACCGGAAGCTTCCTTGGATGACCTCTGCGATAAGTTGACCTTTGTCTCCTCTTTTCTCGTCTCCTTCCCGTCCTCTCCTTTGTCTGGCTATTTGCCACATCTGTCTTTTGTCCTTTGTTCTGCTCGAGTATTTTCCCACAGATAGAAATCCAGAGGAATTCCTTTTGCATTTCAAACATATCTCCGAGCGTTCAGGCCGGCTCCTACGATACGTGAATGAATGGGCGGAGGAAAGGGAGTTACTGTGGTGTTTTTAATCAGAGTCCCATCAGCGTTTTGCCCACATCAGCCTACTTGTCTGTTCACACGGCTTAACCCCTACCTTCTTCATCCCGGTGCAGTATGCTGAAGTAGGCGAACCGCCTCACTAGTGTGAACACGGGAAAATGTGGTCTGCATAGCGTAAAAGGTGAATAGAGGGCACATGCGGTAACGACAGCGCAGCATATAAGCGAGTTCACAAGCTTTCTGTCAGCATTTGCATACATTTAAGGATTCAGCACTTTTTTTGTTCCCCTCCAATATTTTACTGTCTTGGCGTCGGCAGCGTCGAGGAACAGATGGGCCAAAGCTGTGATTTCTCTTAACGGTTGGCTGTGGCTACATGTGACTGTGAGACATGGTTGATGATTTATTTAGCTTGGGCCCAGCATTCAGAGTGTGCCATGTGTGCTTAGAGACCTGATACTCACTGAGGGCCTGCTTGGTGTTTTTGCCAATGAAACAGCATGGTGCTGGTGGGTTTCACACTTCATAGAACAAGGGTGCCTCCAGTAAGAGGAAGGTGTTGACTACAAAGCATTTGAGATTGAAAGACTAAATGCACTTAGAGCCTGCGTCCCTCATATGCATAGATAATAACACAGTTATTGTTAGGCCTCCCCAAATCTGCTTGCTGCAGTGGAAGTGTTTGTCTTGCTGCATCGCACTTATTATATATTATATGAATCGGCTGCTTTTGTTCTTTCACTCATTTAAGGAAGAAGGGTCGGCATTTCCTCCTCGGTAATTGCATAAGAGCAATGCAAAGAGACAGGGAGACCATAAAATCCAGCGCCCCCTTCCCTCCTCGTACCCCCTGGTGAGACTCTTGTCCGTTCCCAGGTGAAGCCTCTTCTCGGCCTGGGAAACTCAGATGTTTATCTGTCGGGTCTGGCAGATAAGTGGTGGGGAGGAGTTGGGTTTACTACCCCCTCATCCCCTCCCCCTTCCTCCCAGCTCTACCTGACCACAGCTTCTTCAGTGTCTGAAATTTTCCACCAGTGATTAGAGCAATTTTTTCTGGACCAGGGAAAGCAATCATAGGGTAATCATATAGATCCACCGTCATTCTAGTAGATGTATGGCTGATGGATACGCTATGATACACGAAGGGTGGGCCTGTGTTTGAATAACATGTGGCGGAAGAATTCCTTTCCCCGCTTTACTTATGATTAATTCAAATAATGTCTTACGTTTTGCTGCGTTCCTTTGCTTTTTCCAGTAAATAATACAAAATCCTTTCAGTCTGCAGGCTTAAATACTTGCTACATGAATGGAAACAATCAAGATCGCTCAATAATAAAAGAGACGTTGTCATGTGATAAGGGAAAGTCGCTGCAGCTGTAGACAAACATTTATCAGCGGTGCTCCCGCGCTCTGGCTCAGGTATGTGTGTGTGGCCACCACGACATGTGGGAACGGTTAATGGGAGCCGGTTCAGGGCTGCTTCGCATCCTCTCCCTTTGGTGGTTTTTCTTTAGTGTAAACTGTCTCTCGTGCACACAAACATATGGTCTCCCATATTGACAAACAGACTTTGGTGGGAACACCCACCCACTCTTGCACACGTTGGCAGCAGAACAAAAAAAGTGTAGTTTCATGAGCTCCCTTCCTATGCATCTATTGATAATGTTGTAAACACAGGCTGTAGTAATTGTTTCCGTGCTCCTCTTACAGCCACATGAAGGTAATGAGGATGTCTGTACACATCATTCTTAATAAAACCATTCTGATAATGTGGTCGCTCATCAGCCCGAGAGCGTCTCTTCACATTAAAGCCAACAGTTGTGTGTTTTTTCCTGTTCTGATATGTAGCAGAGAGAGAAGAAAGCTAAAGGCTTTCTCTAAAATGTTTCTCATAGCGCCTGTGCTATCAAGAACAGATCTGCTCCCTTTAAAAGGGACACCGAGCTCTCGGTGAGGATTAAGCTAAACCAATTAGCTCACAGTCTCTTCAGATAAATCGCACTTCCTTTAATTTTAAGCAGTCTCACTAAGACATTGATAAAATTTCGCATTTTGCTTCTGGAGGTCGAACTCGTCTGAATGTAATAGCTGCGGAGCGTTCTCATCCTCACTATCAGATCTCAACCTCTGACTTTAGCATCGTCGATATCTCATCGCAGGCTCTCCTCAATGAGTTATGAAGGCCTTCCATTAAAGGGAGTGAACTCATGACCCAGCATTAACCCATGCTTAAATACCTTCATCTTTGTATGAGACTTTGTCTTCCTCTTTATCCCCTCCTGAGGGACTTTCGCTCCTCCAAGGTCCCATACAAATGCATGTGTATTAATAGAGGAGAGACCCCTGTGCAAATATAAGCCAGTCCTGCAAACTCTGTGGCTGATTAAAACCGAGTGAACACAGTGAGGAAGTTCCCAAACAAAGGAGTTGAGGGGGGGCTGGAAGGACAGAATGAAAACCCGCGGGGAGACCGCAGGGTTTTTAGTGTGACAGCACTTGTTTGAAGGTGTTTTGGAAATTCGTTCTCCTGTGTTTAGTTTAAGAATCAGACTTTTTACTGAGTCTAAAAATAACAAACTGTTGAAATCCTGCTGTTGTTTTATTCTGCATTTCTGACTCTGTTTCTTTCGGCAGGAACTGGTGTCCTCATACGGTCACTAAGACTGTGACCTGCCAGGTGCAGAATGGGACAATCCTCCAGCGGGTGTACCGGACATGCCCCTGGCCACAGGGATGTGCAGGAGGCAGGTGAGAAGGCAGAGGCATCTTACCAGTACTGCTACTGTTTCACAATGCTTTTACGAAACCTTTAAAAAACCAAAACTTTTTTAGTTCATGGGCCGCATACAGCACCGTGTGATCTGAACTGGGTAGAAAAACTCTCATCATGAAATGTATTCAAGACGTGCAAGTTTCTGCTCAAAAATGTTCCAGTTCCCTGGAATATAAACACTTTGGAAAGACATAGAGTGGGTCTCATGGTTCTTTAGTGAGCCACATGTTTACAACTTTAAAAAGAAGAAAACAGTTGCCTGCTATCAAAGCAGAAAGCTTGGTGTAATGTTTATTTTCTGTTTTTTAATTATACTGGGATTAAAATAGCAGAATAGTTGTTGTTTGAATGCTGTTTGAATCACTTAGAGGATTAGCTTTAAAACTTGTTACTGGAGCTAATGTTCTATTAAAAATCATATTAAGTTCAATCATATTAGCATATACAGCATATATATAGCTATATATAGCTATATAGGATATATATATATATATATATAGCATATATAGCAGTAGTATTCATATAGCTCTCCTATAATTAGCATAGTTCAGGATGCCACGCTGCTGCTCCATATGCTGTCTTTTAATTGAGATAAACCTAAAAGCTTTTATATAATCTGACACTTACTGATGGGACACATTGCCTAGAAATTTCTTTTTATCATTTAATTGAGACTGTGCGAATACAAAGACTGAAAACCTCACGATAATATCTAACCTTACCAGAGAGAGGAGATTTCCTTTCATTTTCCTTTAAAAATGTTATGTGTGCGCGCACGCGTGTGTGTGTGTGCCCATGTGCGTAACGGCTTTTGATTTTGTGTTTATTGTTCAGCTACAAGACCGTGGTCAGACCTTCCTATAAAGTGGTGTACCGCACTGTGACTTCCCTGGAGTGGAAATGCTGCCCGGGATTCAGCGGTGCTGCTTGTGAAGAAGGTGAGTGAAGACAGAGGACGCAGACACACTTCAGTTATACAACAGCTGACGGAAATGAATCGAACAGAATCGCCATCTTGCACTGAAAAATGATCGCAAGTTTGACTCGTGTCAGTACCCCCCCCTCCCCCGCCACTCACGTGCCTCCAGTTTCCTCTTTATGAGTCTTTGACTCGTCACCATTCACGTCCCTCTGTTTTGCATCGCCGTCTTAAAGCCTGCATTTCCAATATGCTTGTATGAGTGATTTCCATTAGGCTTACATAAGGCTACTTCTGTTCTTTGAATGAAATTAAGAAATAAGATCCCCCAGCATCCCACCACTTTATTAATCACTTTTTATGTCTTCATTCCAAGAGTCGCAGCACCAGTAAGGCTTCCTTCTTTACTGCGACTTTGAATTTTATTTTGCAGATTGAACTGAGTTTTTTATCCTCAAAAGAGCTATGCAAGTGCCGTTTACATTTTTAGACCACGGTAGCTGCCCACACACACACACACACACACACACACACACTCCTAGTTCATAATGACTTCCCCTGGCACCCGTCCTCAGGTTTCTGCAGTCTGGGGAGAAGGGTGGAGTGGTCTTTTTATGCTGGGAGCCAGGACTTGAATGGGTGTAACATAAATTAGTGGACCGTGCAGCACAAAGGGTTAATGCGATGGCCTTTTGTAGTGCCGAAAATAGAGGCTGTTTTTCTCTCTTATACTTTGAGACAAAAAAGGAAAATTTCTACCTGAAACTCAGTGAACAGAAAAAATGATTTTTTTCAGACTGATTATGGTAAACACTTGATCTTGTCCAATAAAGTGGGTTTAAAATAATCTGTTTAATTTATTTACTCAGTAAATGGCTAGTATTCCCACTTGAAGTAATTTGGTGATCACAGTATGCAACAGTGTTGTAATGCATTACAGTTCCTCCATTCAGAAGTCAGAAAACAACACACTTGACCTCAGTTCAGATGGGAAACAAAGCAGCGGCAGTCTTCTTTTGAGGAGCATAGATTAGTAAAGGAACATCGCGATGGTAAACGGCCGGCTCTAGTTTATGTTTTTCTCATTAGGAGAGGAATTTGTGCAGATATGGGGTATAAGCGGGCTGTAATGTTACTTTATTAATTACATGACAATAACTGTGTAATATAATGTTGAAGTAATTTAAGAAGTAGGCAGAAAATTATTTTCTACAGGGAGTTAATAGGTAATGCATTTGTTGTAGTAACTGTAGTAACTAATGACTGCTCCCAGGTGCTTTCAGACCTCCAAGTGGCCTCCAGTCTGCTGTAGTGTGGCTTCGACTGCTTGCTTGCACTTGCACACACCATCCCACCTTGGATATCACACTTGTTTCACACCCTCCCTACTGTCAAAGTCAAAAAACACATTCACAGTCAGACAACGCAGACTTTACCCAACAAAGGCAGAGGAACACACAGTGAAACGGGGAGGAAATTATCCAATTAAGTTGTTGCTGGAGGAGATTCCCCTCCGGTTGTCATGGCAGTAGGGGGCTGTCGAGCCGACGGGGATGTCGGGATTAGCCACTTATCTGAGCCTCGTTCCGGGTGGCTCAGATCACAGGCGGCGCTGAGTGGAAGTGACAGGTCCCATTCACAGGGCCTTTACTCTCCGGCACCATGGATCCTATCCAGGGCCACCAGTGCTTTGTTCTGCTCTTGCCGCGTGAGCAGAACCCCTTGCCAGCACAGAACCTGATACCCCGCTGCCGTCTGCCTCGTCCGCCCGCTCTAAGGAGAAATGCAAGCCTGCCACACGGGCAAAGCTGGTGACCGGATTGTGCTTAAAGCTGTTGCCACAGTGTTGCCAAGTGAAGTTAAAGCTGCACTAATAATTCAGTAGGTGCACGTTTCAAATCCAGGCTGTTAATACCTGCGTGCGGCTGTTTCCAGATGGCTTTGAGCACTTTTTAACTTTTAGTTGGACTGAGTTGAAAGACTCAGGCTTTAAAAAAACAACTCTAGACAAACATACTACTTTTGATCTTATTTGAGTCGCATAAAGAGCAACCAGGATGTAAATACCTTTAAGGATCACTTTTGGAATTTTATTATTTGCTATACATCACTCTTACTCCTCTGCTTGTCTGCTTTTCACAGACTGTGGAAAATGTGTGTGATCCGCTCATTTACTGCCCTGCTTTTAACCTGCTTTTCCCACCAGGCCACCCCAAAAAGCCTCTAGCCATGTCTGACTCCCAAGGACGGTCTGCATTACTGCAGATCTCAACAATGTCCAAAGCAAAAAGACTCTGGGGCTGGGGCTACGTTTAGGTTGAGATGCAGGAAAGTACAAAAAACACTGATAGGAATGTGACCGATATGATTGTGCTTTAAATAGGGATGAGAGAGTTGTTTTCTTTTGTGTTCCTCTGTTCTCACCCCTTGGCCTGCCAGCTGATAGGTCAACATGTATAAATCAACGGCTTGGTCCGTAGTGAAGATAACGAATTAAGTTTTGGGCTTTGCGTGTTCAAATCTACAGGCGCAAATAAATGAGAGTTCATTAAGGGAAGAGATCATGCATGCTGTCATCGAGTCATAAGCAGGCTTATGAGGATTTTTGGCATGTCGCATTAGGAGGCTCCAAAAGCAAAGCATTACATCACACCCATACGGACACACAAACGTACCCCATCAGAGTCCAGGCAGGGTAAGATAACACTGCATTAGACAGGCACCTTTCACATTTGCTGTCTTTTTCTTCCTTCCACACCCCAACCTCAGGACTTGGCTTGAATACCGGTCCAATGGTGTAATTACTGGGTCCTAATTGTTTTCTGTGAGGTTTGGGAGATATTGTCTTACTTCTTGGTCTGGAACACAATGGTCTTTATCTCTGATTGAGTCTGAGAAAGAAAAAGAAAAAGAAGACTAAGCATTTACAGATGTAGGCACTTTCATAGGCTGCCAGAAACGGGGATTTAATGTATGCCTGGTTGGCTTTGGCATTCCAAGTAAGTAAATGCTTGTTTTTAGTTGGGATATCCCAACATATGCTACATCAAGCACAAATATCAAAATTATACCCAATTTAGAGGCAATTATGTGGTATTAGAATATCAAATTTACCCCTCAAAAGTAATATTATTACATTAGCTCTGGCTCTAATGTAATAATTATCTGAAATGCTAGTGTTGCACTGATACCACGAGGGGTGACTGTGCGCTCAGGAGCCACGGATGTAAAATTCATTGACATTTTGAGCTTTTGGCCTCGATCTGCTAATTTTGATGGAGCCTGAAAAGTGTGGAAATGACACTAAGAGACAGGCGTTGATATACTGACCCTGATTTGATTTATTGAGGAAAGGCCTTAAAAGAAAAATAGCTGTGGCTTATCGCAGGGGGGAGGCCGCTGAGGAGCACAGCATATGGGGGAATGTAGACTTGAATTAGCACGGCTGTCAAAGCTCTGCCACGGGGGTCCCCATCAAACAGTATCTCGCAGCCAAGCGGAGGCTGTGGTTTTTGGGTTGCAATTATGAGGTGGCTGGGAGGCAGAAGCCCGCTGTCTTGTAATAAGCCATAGAAATGTAATCTGTGTTTTCACAGCTCAGGGCGGCTTATCACAAGCCCGCATGCTAAACCCCGTGCTTTAAACATCAGTCGGCTGCAGCTTGCCATTAGCAGAGGAAGAGTGGGAGTGCGTGGACGCCGGTGTATGCGTCTATCTGCCTGCCAGAGTCAATGTGTGGGTGGGAGAGCGAGGCGTTGAGGATTTGTATGCAGCTGTTTGCTGTGATTAGCAGCTTTAATGGCAGCAGGCTTTTTGGAGCTGTGAGTGTAGGGACTTCAGCCTGAGGTCAGAGGGGAGGAGGCTGAGCAAGAGCAGGTGACCAAAAGGCCCCCCATCACCAGCACTATCACCCCACACACTCCCACTCCTGCTAGACCACACAGTGGAGCGCTATCAAAGTCATATCAAGCAGAGATCCCCTGCGTTTGCCTTAGCAGGTGTTACACATGTTATCCTTTACTTGCTCCAGTTCATTCACAAAAAAAAGAAAAATCCCAGACTTGATGTCAGTCACCCCCGCATCAGCGTTTATGCACTCAGCAGATGAGATCTACAAAGACGCATGAATCACTTGAATGTAGCGAGGCAGGCTGCAGTCAACGTGCAGAAAAGGCCACAGCAGCTGATATTCGCTGTTATGTAAATGACCAGCACACAAGTGCTGAGCATAAATTGGAAGCAGCTGACATTAAGCAAACTGGGCTGAGGCTTCCAGATGAGATTCGGCATCTAGCCCCTTTCAGCCGACACTGCTCGGCTCTGAGGAATTATCATAAAAGTGATTAAGTAGAAAGAAAAACACAATCATTAGCTTGCTTTGTATTATCTGTATGTGATTAATAGTAACAACTCTTTGGTTGCTGTTTTAAGAACTGGCCAGATGAAAATTAGCCCACAAGTATGGCTCATTTACAGTTATTTTTCTGTTGATTAATGAGCATGTATACCTTTTAAGCAAACACATATATACCTGCAAAAATGACCAATCAGCCAACTTAAATAACAAAACCAAACAGAGTAGGAAGGTCTTTTTTCTTTCCTCACGTCCTGCCTGTCTTTCCTTCCATGCTGTCTTCTCCTTATGTAACGGTGTGCTGGTATTTGCTCAAGGTTTGTGGGGAAAAAAATCCAGAAAATTATAGTTAAATCAGTTGCGGGGTTCGGTAGTTAAACTGCAATATGCACTGATAATTTTGATAATATTATTACAGCATTATTTTTTAAATGTCCCATGAAAACCACCCTCAGAACACACACACAGACACACACAGTACAACAAAATGCTTTCAGGCTGTAACAATAATAGTCATGAGAATTATAATTATAAATTCCTATGCTCTTGTTGTTGTTTTTTCCTCTGCGTACAAAAAAGTTTCGATACAAGGCGAAAAAGACAAGCACACAATGGCAGGACATTATTTTAGGTGGATTTATTGTGCATTATATTAATCATCTAAG